CCTTTAAGGGTGATAGTGCTTCTTTGAGGACTACAAGACGTCTGATTTCCGTCACACAGAGCACTTTCTGTGCTGCCGAAGTTGTAATCATCGACCGAACTCATAAGCTACCGTTGCCTCCACTAAAGGAAACTCAGCCAATTGGGGCCAACTCCCACTGCGTATATCAATTCGTATGTAACTGCGGAGATAAATACATAGGCAGAACCAATAGAACACTGAGTTCCCAAATAAAGGAGCACGTAACAAAATGGGTTCAATGCGGAATGATTCAGCAAGCAATCCCAAATCAGACTACGTGTGTGCGTATGCCACCGATATCTTCGATCGCCAGACACTTATTGACATTGGGTTACCGGATTGAGGTCAAAAAGCCATACCAATTCTAGGCACCTCCGGTTTGCCGAGACTATTGCCATTAATCGGAGTAAGCCAGTGTTTCGTGTGCGAAAGCAATTATCGGTCAGCCTCAGACTGCTCTGGTGGTAGAGGAATGACACTCGCTTTTTCTCTCGTTTGTTTGTAAGTATGTCTGTACCCATAAAATTACCGGTTATCGTTATTGGCACTGATGAGAGGACACGGAATGCATGCATCGGCCGACCTTCGTCTTCTAATTGTGCTTTTCAATTTACTAAGGGGAACTAACTGTTTTAAGTTTCTCAAGCAGGGTCAACTCTATCTTTTCCTGCCTCCAGCAGGAATGGAGTCGGTTGGCATGTCTGAAATTCAGATTGCCGAGGAAGTGTTGGAAACCACTTGAGATTTTGCTGCCTTGGTAGCGGAATAACAACGGACCTGCACATGACGTGCGAGCTTCGCAGCAGTGTATCAAAGGCGGTTGCTGCTTTTGGCAAGATGGAATGCCGCGTGTGGAACAACCACCAGATCACAGTTGGGGCGAAGCTGCTGGTATATATAAATCTATGGTGCCGTACGTTCCTCTATACGGCAGCAAAACCTGGACGCTTTACCAGAAGGATGTCAGATATCTGGAGCACTTCAATCAGTAGTGTCTGCGCCGTATTATATGCATCGGTATGAACGACCGAGTGTCAGACACGGAGGTGAACCGACGCAGTGGCACGTATGCAGTGGACTGCATAATTCTGCCGAGGCACCTGAAGTGGCTGGCCATATTTACCGTATGGCTTTGACCCGGATACCGAAACAGCTGCTTTATGGCCAACTGAGTGCATGGAAACGGCACGTGGGCAAACCGAAGTAACCATATCAACTGAGCTTATCGCGTCCCAATGTTGTTTGCTGGTCATGGTAATTGAAGACGGTTGATCGGCGTGCATGGCGCGATCCGATCAAGTAGTCCGTTGCTGAGGCGCAAGAGAAAGCCCTCGTTCATGCAGAGAAGAAGCGGCAATTGCGGGAGCGACAGGCACCGATGGGCTGTACTCCATCGAGGGCATGGTAGTGTAGCAGATGCGGCTGCGAATGCTTGAGTCAGGCAGTCCTAGAAAGCCACAAGCGAGGCCACTCGGATCCAGTATCGAAACGACGTGTCCTGCTGAGTACGTAGGCAGAACCAGCGCAGCGTTGGTACATACGCTACAATCGATTTACTCAACGCGTGTTTATGTACTGAGTTTCTTTATTACAGGTGGTGGGTCTGCTACCTAGTCTCAGTGTTATTTTCTTACCTCATTTTAATGTGTACCTGAATCATCTTTGAAATTGCACGTTTCGATTAAACTAAAGGCGGCTAACGTCGCCATTTTTTCTCCTTCTTACAAAAGTGTCTTGATTCCTTTTTCTGCTATCCTGTATCTCTCACGGCTATTTTGATAATCCATTTATTTCATGTGCTAATTTAGCGTCTTATTCGTACGGTGTATTCGATCCATTTTATTTGACATTTCCGGTGATTGGCTGTTGTTTGACATCCCTGGTGTGGCTGCGCTTGACGTGCATGTTGACAAGGTGCGTACATGTTTATAACCCACTACCTCGCCCATACTGGTTCCAGGAGACAGCTGGTCGTTGCTGGAGGGGACAGGGTGCACGGTCCTTGTGGCCGTGTTAGGATAGAAGAGTAGTTCCACGCAGTCAGTGTGGAGCGGACTACGGTCCAGCCACGGCCTTGTATGCGTTTGATTCCCTAAATACAGCGTGCTTGTGTTTGCCTGTGAAGGAGTGTGGGTCAGCTCAGTTGATGAAACGTGGCTCCCATCCGCATGCCTCCCTGTGTTATTCCTTCGGGTTTACACTGGATATATATGGTTGGCGGCATCCGGTTTCGGATTTGCCTGTCACTGTGGCAAGCCACAGGACGCCTGCGCCTACAGAGGGACCATGGATGGCTTGCGCTGCACCACCCACAGCTCCAACCACATACCCCATATCCAGTGTAAACCCGAAGGAATAAGACCGGGAGGCATGCGGTTGGGAACCACGTTTCATCAACGGAGCCGGCCCACACTCCTTCACAGGCAAACACAAGCACGCTGTATTTGGGGAATCAACCGCACACAAGGCGGTGGCTGGACCGTAGTCCGCTCCACACTGAGTGCATGGAACCGCTCTTTGAGCCTAGCACGGCCACAAGAACCGTGCACCCCGTCCCCTCCAGCAACGACCAACTGTCTCCTGGAGCCAGTATGAACGATGTAGTGGGTAGTAGACAGGTAGGCACCTTGTCAACATACACATCAAGCGCAACCATACCAGGGATATCAAACAACACCCATTCACTTTAAACGACAACCTGAAATAAAATAAATCCAATAATGCATACAGATACGGTGGCATAACTCTTCGCTAAATTACCATATGAAGTAAGTTGGTCAGCAACAAATCCGTGATAAGTAAGAAATGTCCACAAGTTACTTAAAATGCTACAAACGCAACAACATTACCGAAGATAAGCGCAATTAGTGTAAGCAACGTGGCCAGTTAATAGAACATTATTCAGGGAAGCAGAACAAACCAAATAAAGCGGAATGAAATTTATCCAGCTGAAAAAGACCTAGTTTAAGTGTAAGTTGGTTTAGCCCAACTGCGGTGAAGAAGCATCAAGAATGCAACATCAGCCTCAGCATGGGGCACACATACAAGTTACTCAAAAATGCTACAAACGCAACAAAATTACCGAAGATAAGCGCAATTAGTGTAAGCAACGTGGCCAGGTAATAGAACATTATTCAGGGAGGCAGAACAAACCAAATAAAGCGGAATGAAATTTATCCAGCTTAAAAAGACCTAGTTTAAGTGTAAGATGGTTTAGCCCAACTGCGGTGAAGAAGCATCAAGAATGCAACATCAGCCTCAGCATGGGGCATACATGGACATGGTTGGCGGCATCCGGTTTCGGATTTGCCTGTCACTGTGGCAAGCCACAGGACGCCTGCGCCTACAGAGGGACCATGGATGGCTTGCGCTGCACCACCCACAGCTCCATCCACACACCACATATCCAGTGTAAACCCGAAGGAATAAGACCGGGAGGCATGCGGATGGGAACCACGTTTCATCAACGGAGCCGGCCCACACTCCTTCACAGGCAAACACAAGCACGCTGTATTTGGGGAATCAACCGCACACAAGGCGGTGGCTGGACCGTAGTCCGCTCCACACTGAGTGCATGGAACCACTCTTCGAGCCTAACACGGCCACAAGAACCGCGCACCCCGTCCCCTCCAGCAACGACCAACTGTCTCCTGGAGCCAGTATGGACGAGGTAGTGGGTAATAGACAGGTAGGCACCTTGTCAACATGCACATCAAGCGCAGCCACACCGGGGATATCAAACAACAGCCAAAAACTTGAAAGAGGGAGAAAGAGGAAGAGAAAAACTCGATTAATGCATAAGGAAACGGTGACATAAACCTTAATTAAATAGCATACGTAATAAGTTGTTTACAAACAAATCCTAGCTAAGTGCACGCGGTCAGGAAGTATAGTTCACGGAATGCCACGAACACAAAGATGTTATGGAAATCAAATACAATTGGCTGAAGCTATGTGTGCAAGTTAATGTAATAGAGTACATGGAGATATTCATATGAGAATGGAAAGCATTAGGCACAAACTGTAAACCCACCACCTGAAATAGAGAGACTTAGCATGCATGCACGCGGTTAGTAAATCGAAATCAGCGTGCCTACAAACGCTGCGCCGGCTCGTCGTAATTCTCTGCAGGACCCGTCGTCACTTCTGTAGTGGCCCCAAATGGCACAGCGCATTGCCCACTAGACATTTATCCACTAGACATTTATATGAGAAAGAAAGAAAGGCATTAGGAGGGAACCGAAAACCCACCACCTGAAATAAAGAGACTTAGCATGCAAGCATGCGATTAGTAAATCGAATTCAGCGTGCCTACAAACGCTGCGCCGGCTCGTCGTAGTTATCTGCAGGACCCGTCGTCGCTTCTGTAGTGGCCCCAAAGGACCTAGCTCATGGCCCACTAGACATTTATATAAGAAAGAACTGGATATATATATATATATATATATATATATATATATATATATAACAAAATGTGTCTAGTTGAGAAACACATCGACTTAGACAGTCAAGTTCATAGGGAAAAAGAAAGATAATAAGGGAAGTTTACCTGGACATAATGCAGTCTTTCGGAAAGGGGGTATCAGGATCCGTCTCAAAATTGGCTGGATAAGCTAACGAATATGGCACAGTCGCGAAATCAATGGCGCTCTCGCATTGTTTCACCCATATTTACTTCATTTGATGATTTATGTCAATCCCTCATGAACTACGGTTGCAGTTGTTTTGTTATCATTAGAATTATTACTACGACGTATATTAACGTGACCGAACCCAGCGTACACAATGGAGCAGATCATAGCTGATAAACTGGACTGAGGCTGAAAAGATCCAACTCGGGATTGTTCCCAGAATCGAAACCGCCCAACAGACAAGCCTCTCCCAAAGAAAAACCGTACCCAATGCGCACTAAGGAAGTGGCCACTGCCACAAACAGCCCCTCAAGGTCTGTAACATGGAGTCAGGAAACCGTAACCATATTCGGTAAACCACCTAAGGGTGTTCAGAAATGCTAAGATACAAAGGAAGTGTGCGATGCTTAGTCAGTAGAGCAGGTAGGCAAATGCGTATGCAAACCAGCGATTTGTGAATACAATCGCAAACGATAAGTTCAAATGCGAATTTAAACAAGCACAAATAAGAAAATCCGTTAAAAAAATTTGAATATTCTCACAGCATCGAAAAGAACGAGGTGGGAAGGGGACAAAAAGACAAAGATGCAGCTGAATAAAAAAACGCGGTGCCGGTGTCCGAACGAGTTCTTGTTTGATCTGAGAACCAAAACATAATGGACAGCGTCGTATGGAAGAGCGAAGAAGTAGTCCGTGTGCACGTATATAGACAGCACATCATGAAAAATACACAGGGGATTCCATACGAGTTTTGGATCGGCTTTAGGATTCACGGTTTAGCAAGAGGTAGATACCCATGGTCCCAAGAACGCAATACTAAAAGAGAGGATAGGAGCCGTGTTAGTTGAAGCGCAGTCGAGAGACATTCTGTCAGGATGACGAGCTACCAGAAACAAAGGAAGCTTGGTGAGAAGTCCAGGTAAATCATGCCCAAATTAATTATATGTGACAGATAAGGAGTGTGAGGTCAGGTGAATGAAACGAAACAAATACAGAAATTACGCAACCCGCAACGGATATACATATTTATATACCCTAACGCCTTAGAGTGAGTTGATTTGCGGTCGTGGACATAATAAGTTTATTGCTCAAACTTTAACACAAAAAGCACAAGGTGATAAAGTGGACAAATGAGGATCCATGACTGAAAAGAACAAGATTCAGGGAAGAATACCGTAATCAGTTGATTTGGACGCGATCAGATAAACACCAGGTAGAGACCGCTTCTTAGGTAGCTTTAGCATAGCACGTATTTGCACAAATAAACAAGTTTACTCTAAACAAATCTCGAATACATAAGTCCCTGATGTCAGATAGATTGAAAGCAGCAATAAAGGTGATCCGCCTGTTTGAACAGGTATGGAAAGACTACACCAGGTAACAGGGGTGGACCGATTACAGTAAGAAAGATGAATAAGGGTGATTGCAGAGTATTCGCAAAGCAGTGAAAGATGTTAGCAATGCATTTATTGTCCGTATTAGTAGTGATTTGTTGTTATTACACCACAAGCTGACGAAATTGAGCTGAGATACGATAAGTGTGTCGAAGCTGAAGTGGAAGTGCGGACTCGAATGCGAATCGCACAAGTTGCATGTCCAACACTGAAGACACTACACCTCGGAAACTTGGCAATCACCCACAAGGTAAGCTATTTTCTTAAATAATGGGGACCCAGATGAAGAGATCTATCATCAACATCAATTTACAAAGTAGCTAGAAGTGGAGAAAATCCTTAACAATTAATCGACCTAGCGATATTGGCTCTTAATGTGTCAACACGGTCTCCAGTGAGGTTCAACTGATCGACAGTGTAAAACTCCTTGCGCCAAGCCAAGATCTGGCCGAATCGCGAAGGGATGAGTATAAGTAGTATATATGGATCACAACACAAAGAGTATAGAAACACGGAGAGCGAATTAAAGAGTAATTGTGGATGTGTGTGAGTAATGTAAAGTTCGTGGAAAGTAGAAGTCACGATTAAAATTCACACACAATAATGTACCTCGACGGGGAATCGAACCCCGGTCCAACGAATTACCGGTACGCTGCTCTATCACTGAGCTACCGAGGGCTGAGGATTAGGTGCGCAATTTTTAATACATGACTTCTGCTTGGTGCGCGACGTATTGCCAATGGGCTCACAGTATCTGTGAGTGTGAATTTTAATCGTGACTTCTACTTTCTATGAATTAAAGAGTACATATGGGAAAAGAAGTAGGCTTACAGGATGGAATCTGGGACAGGTGCCGACATGGAACATTATGAAGAATACGATCAAAGACAGAATTGAAATACATCACACCGCAACGCATGATAAGATAGTCAGAAAAACAGGGTGACAGAAAAAGCGCGGAAGTAAGATGGCTGGTAACCACGGGGTGGCAAACACTGCATCTGAAGGACACCGCGTGTAAAGCGGAAAAGGGCTCATTTATTTCGCGTACATATTGGGAACAAAAAGGCGAAGTGAAGGCACGTACCTACTACGGAAGACGGACGCCACATGCCGAGCTTCAGGCTAAGTGCAAAAAACTAAGTTCTCGGTTCACTTCAACGGGTAATGTCAAAATAGGTGAAAAAGAAGCGTACAAAAATCGTAAATTCTTATGTTGGTGAAATAGGCAAAAGCGGTCAAGAGCAATCATTAAAGCAGTAAGCTGGGCAGTTGTTTGTGGATGCATGGACAACTTGTAATTCGTAAACAGGGAGCAATAAGCTCAAAGTGTGTTGCTCTCTTGCTCGAAACTAGTGCTCATGTTTGATCGTGGTTACGTGCCAAGGGAGTATGATGTTGTCTATTCACATCAGAAGGTAGAAACTACATCATATATTTCGAGCAAAGTCCTGTCAACATAAAGGGTCGCACTGCACATGTGATACAACTATATTCAAATCGTTGCAAGTACGTGGTGGAAACTTACTTTCAGCTTAGGATTATCGTTCATTATGATAGTCACTTGACCGACGTGAGGAATGTAGCTGAGAAAAATGAAACATTGAATATGAGGCACATGGTATGTAAGCGTCAAGCAGAACAATGTGAGGCGAAGACAATTTTATTCAGTATGACGGGAGCAAGTCAACCACAACGCGTCGGGTCCTCATTCAAAATGCCAGTCATCTCAGCTTGAAGAATCCGTATAAAAAGGAAACCGATCGTGAAATGCAGTGTTGCGAAACAAGACCGAAAGTTTCCACTTCAAGTGCGGCCCTGTTGACTGTAATCGCCAAGGTTTAATGCAATGTAAACCGAGGTCTCAAGAGAGAGATTAGTATCACAATACAAAAATAGCAGGTAATCCCGAACCCAACATCATAAGCACTCAACAGGTTAGCTAGACGTTAGAAGCACTTCAGCCACTGTCGCAATAAAACTCAATTAGATGGTGGTGAAAAAAGAAGGAAAGGAAACAAAGTAAAAATAGCTATGCTTTGTTCATAAAAATACATCGACACCGCGATTGTGGTCGGAGGAAGCTACGCTGGATGCCGTAAACGAAAGGAACACAACGGGAACGCCAATGAAGTTGATTCATCGCCATGTCAACAAGTGTATCCATTTAAGCGTGTTTATCGTTTTTCGGACTCCACCTCACGGTTTGCGAGGCCCTGAATACGGCCAAGTTCTGAGTGGGATCTTTCCTTCCACTTGACCAAGTCATCGAGTGACCTCCCTTCTATTATTCCATCCAAATCCAGGTCGCACAAACAGCGCAACTCAAGATCCAGCCATAGGAGCCGGGTGTGTGAAACAATGGCACAAATCGGTCCGCTTCCTCTTCCTGCGTCATATATACAACGCAGAACACGAGTATTGCGCATGCAGTGTTCCCACCGGATGTGAGCTAAGCTGCGAAGGAATCAGTGGTCGAATACAATTAGTCCCTTTATGTTTATTTTCGGGTATTGGGTTTATGTCTACTATTTGAAAAGCCAAGTTTTACTACTACCGGGTGGTCCAACGGACGGATACATAGCAGGCTCTACCCTTCGGGGCGGTAGTGCCAAAGGTTGCTTCACGAACTTTCACCATACAGTTTGGTGAACTTATTTTCTATTCCACGGTCGCCGCTACTGTTGTCCAGGTAGTTCTTTTTGAACGACTTTACCACGAAAGGTCACTGCACTGAGCGCTCCCTGTCAATCGGGTGCAAAGCATAGTCTGAAACGTCCGACAGCCAGTTTTAATCTGTCCAGTACTGTTTGGCACGCCTGAGTTATCACAGATTATGCCAATAGCATCTGCATGCTTCAAGTCAAAAAGTCGATCATCTGGAAGCAGCTTCACATCTTCCAAGCCGCGTTCAGTAAACGAGCCGAATCTGGTAGTTCCAGCGGATTAAAGTGCCTTGTAAAGTGCTCAAACCACCGCTCTAATTGTTTTGACAAGTTGTGGATCAACTGTTCACTTTCGTCGCGTATAGTACTGCTAACACCATGTCCCCCGCCGTTCGTTTCCTTTAACAGACAGAACAACTTCCGATGGTCACCAAGGATAGCAGCTTCTTCAAGTTCCGACGCACGATGAAACCACCAAGCGTAGTAAACCCCCGCACGCAGTTTTGCTCTGAGGTGCTGCGAGCGTCATTGCGTTCGATCTCAGCCGAAATGAATCGATAAGCATCCCGAAGTTCCAGAGACTGCGTAGTGACCAAAGGTCCAGGTTGGCAATCAGGTTTGTCACATGAAAACATAGCTGGTCAATAAGGTATGGTTAACATGAGAACAGTGGCCTTCAGCTGTGCTTCTTGAGTACTTATTTAACTACCGTTTAGTGAAGGGAGCTACCATGACATGAGTATGCTCTAAAAACGAGGCGTACGCCAAAGACGACCGCGAGTAAAATGTGTCAAGACATGAGAATACGGTCAGAATCGGTCGACAATACTGTAGCGACGAGCGTGATCTATAAGTGGCGGTGATGTGCTCAATTTGGGTCCGGGGATCAGGTGATATGGTGCAAAGACGAATATTAGAATACCGTCAAATAGGTCAAACTGTACTTATGGGAGTACAGTCTCACGACAAGTTTGCCGTTGTGCACGGTTCCTCACCGTTTCCCATAGTGTTTCCAGTCATATGTGCTCCAGATACTTGCGCCCCCAGATAGGGAGAAGAGACCACCAAATCGCGGCCAAATATGAGACCAGCGCCTTCATACTATTGGCCCAATTCATTCGTTGGCCACCCGGTTTTTGCTTTCAGTCGACTTCTGTGCGCGCTAAGAGTTAGCGTGGCAAACGCCCAGGCGTGCGAAGCACATTCGCAAACCCCCGAGGTTTGCGCAAAGAAATTATGCGGTTTAGCAACCGGTAAAGTCTGTCTAACTTGGAAATCCTGCGAGGAACATCCTCAACACTAATGTGATGTTGCCATCGTACACTAGCAATGCCCCGAAGGTATCAGTGATCAAAAACAGACATCCTCTGAACGTCCTTTGCACAAACAGCCCAAGTATCGCAACCGGAGAGCAGGACAGCTCTTACCGCGGCACCGTAGGTTCGATCCTTCAAGGCGAGATCCATGTCGCGTCGACGCTAGAGATGGTGGAGATTAGCAAAAGCAACCTGGGTCTTAAAGACGCGCAGAGACCTTATCCGTTAACCCGTTAGCGCCGATGCAGCTTCCGTTGGAAACAAACTTGTCTAGCACTTCCAGAGAATGACCTGAAAGGGTAGGGATAGGAGCAGCTCCTAACCAGTCTTGTAGGAAGACCTTACACTTCCATGGAGCGGTCATTCCAACCTGGGAGATAGACACATCCAAGCTAGACAGCACATATTGGGCGTCTTGTGAGGAATCGCAAATTACGGCGACATCGTCTGCATACTTCAAATCGCGAAGTCTGTCCCGGGAAGCAGCTCGATACCGCTGGGTTCGCAGTTCTCCAGAGCGCTCTCCAGGATGACGTCCATAGCGAAACTGTACAGGAAGAGTGATGATGGGCAGCCCTGGTCTCACGCCACTGGTGGTACTAAAAGGGGGCGAAAGTCCGCCGTACATCGGCAATCGGCTCGAGGTTCGAGAACAGATGGCTCGAAGAATGTCAACATACTTCTCGGGCACTCCCCTTCTCAACAGACGACTGTAGCGAGCAGCTCTGTCAACTGAGTCAAATGCGGCTCGTATGCAATGCACATTTGTTGTACGACCGTCGTATTCTTAGCACCTCCCGTAAAGATTGATGTTGTATATATCATGCTTCTTCATCACAGCTTGGATACGCGGACTTACACTTAAACTAGATCTCCCTAATCTGGATAAAAAGCATTCCACTATATTCGATTTGCTCAGCTTCGTTACTCTGCTGCATCCTCCATATCAATTTTGCGTGATTATTTTCCTCCAAATCCGGTTTTCGATATTTGAATCGTTGCTGGGAGGAAGGGGTGCACTGTCCTCTTGGACGTGTTAGGATCAAAGTATGGTTCCATCCAGTGTGGAGCGGACTACGGCCCAGCCACAGCCTTGTATACGTCTGGTATGCATGATTCCCAAATTAGATAGACAGGAATGCTGCTGCTGATGTGCTTGTTAAAGCAGTGTGGGCCGGCTCCGGTGATGAAACGTGACTCTCATCCACATGACTCCCGATCTTATTCCTTCGAGTTTAAACAGCATATGAGGCTTGTGGATGTAGTTGTGGGTGGTGTAGGGCAAGCCACCCATGGTCCCTTTGTAGACACAGGTGTCCGGGAGCGGATGCCACCAAACATGTTACGCACCTGTGACCACGACAAGCCGCAGGTTGGAATTGGCGGGTTCACAACAAGTTGACCAGGGGCTGCCTGGCTTGAGGCGGACGGCAGCAAACTATTGAGCACCGCGCGGTGCTCGAGTTCTACGCTAATCGAGCTGTGAGCTAATCCGTAAACCCGTTTGCCCCCAAGGCTAGGTTTTAAACGGAAGAGGGTCATCGACCTCTCCTTAACCTCCGAAGAGAAGTAGATTGTGAGACTGAGATAGTCTGACCCTGTCTGGTATGAGTGGCTTAGGAAGCACTCGGAAGATGCCACCCAAGGTAGCTCAATTGATCATGAAGGTAGGCAAACCATCGTACCACGTTAAAGTATAGTATCGTTGTGATGAAACGCTATCGGACATAGTCAAGAACCACACTAAATGGCGAACGTGTTAGGAAACTCTTTTTTACTGGATGCCTTTTTCCTCTCCATCATCGTTTTCATCCCCGTGTTATGGCACTTCCAATCGTAATTGACCAAGTTGTGAATACTATGAGTTAACCGAATCTTGATTATAAAGCGCAAATTGCTGTTTCCCATAGCTTACAGGGGGAAGGCCATCGACCTCTTCACAATCCTGTGTGAAAAGGTAGAGAGACCAAGCTCAACGGCCGTCCGATCAGTTACATGCCCGGTGTAAATGGCTATAAGAGCACTTGAGAATTTTTACTCGACATTGTCCAGATACCTATGAAGGTAATCAAATCATCGCACCATGTTATGGCTAAGCGTCGACATGATGGACATGCTAAAGATAGGCCTTATCAAAATGGATGCGGATGAATGTTAGTCGACCGAAATGTACTGAAACAGAGGAAACGAGGAAAATGAAGGACGAGAGCTGGTAATGGCAAAAAATTAGTGCACGATAAAAAGATGAATTATGGCATCTTACCCTTTTGCGCGCCCAAGCACTTGAGAAGGTACCAACCAATCTTGTCCCGGAGCATACAAGCCTCGATCGTGCACAGCATTGTTATCGCCCTTGGTGAGGAACTTCACCGTACCATTGACGCTGACAAAACAAAGTTAGAAGTGACTTTCACACTTGGGTAGAGTTTATATGGTAATATGTCCATTGGATAGACACAGCCAGTCGAGTAATGTAGACTGAGGAAGAGAACGAGTACGGTAAATAGTTGGTTTTATTCACCATTTTTTACTTTTTCATAAGATGAAAAGGATCTAGGATGGCATGAGGATCGAAAAGTGAAAGCATTAATCTGGCAACGAGAAATGAGGGCACCGATGACTGGACTTGGTGCTGTCGACGCTATATGACTAACTCTCCGGTTGTCTCGACGTTTTGCAGCAAATGGTGTTGGATGTCAGCTTGAAGCAGTAATGATGGTGATAGATTTGTTACAGAGCCACTGTCTATAAAATAACGCTGACTACAAAACACTTCAGCGGAAGCCGCAAGGAAGCAGTCTCGCCGATGCCACCTTATCTTCGTACAACAGCAAAATGTTGATGACCGTAGGGAATCACAATCAGCATCAGCAGTACATCAGCCATTTAAATTGATGCTCAGCTGCGGTACGATCAAGAAGACCTACGGAATGAAGAAGAACAAGAGTGGGGACTTAATGTAAAAGCTAAGCAACGATTCAGAGTCGACGCGCCAACACCGTGCCAATAACATACCGTCACAAACAGCTGGCTACCGTGCAAAAATAAGGTGACTGGCGAGAAACCATCCTTGCGGGTTTCACTGCCTCGCAGATAACTCAGCACTAGACATAATTTACACATGCAGTCAGATTAGGAGACGGCAGCAAACGCGCCACTGGCGCTGACTGCGAGACATGTCCTGCTATCACCATTCATCATCACTATACACGTTAGCTAGAGATGGGAAGCACCTCAGCTACTGTGCCGCAATACAAAAGAAAAGAACAGAAAATATGAAACAAATGCAAGCCAGCTGAGATACCGGTAACGGATGGACATCGCTCCGGTAAGCTATCAGCCGACTAATATGTAGCAAAAATTGCACTATGCAAAAATATATGAGGCTAAGTTGTGAGATCGTGGTTGGAGAAGGAAGCTAAGAGAGATGGGACGGACAAAGAAACTCACAGCACGAACGCCACTGACGTAGGCTCCTAGACATGTCAGCAAGTGTATCTAGACAAATGTGTTCATTGTCTTTCGGACCCCAACCAGGAAGCAGAGACGCTCCAACCGAGACCAGCTCCGAAGTGAGGGCCTTCATTCCTTTCGACCAAGTCGTTGCTTAGCCATCCTTCCTCTTCTTCCATCCAACCCCCCGGCGCGCAAACAACGCATGTCGAGGGAGTCGATGGGCTAGCATGTGTAACACGCGGCTGAACCATCGGAACCTGGTGCCTGAAATAACGGTGCTGAACGGTTCATTTCCTTCTCCTGTGCTCTAAACAATGCGTCGAACATGCTCGTTGCTCACGCGGTGTTCCCACCAGATGTGAGCCAAATTGCAAAGGCACCGGTGGTCGAACATAACTAGCCTCTTTATGTCGATCGATCTAAAGGGCCAGGTTTCACAACCGTACGATAGGGTCGAACATACCGCTGCATCGTACACTCTACCCTTCAGGGCGAGAGTGATGTCGCGCCGGCGCCATAAGTGGCGAAGGTTAGCACATGTGCCTCGAACTCTTGCATTACGGTTCGTTATCTTCAATCCAAATGGCGCTGATATAACTTCAAAGGTAATTGATTGTTTGAACGATTTCTAGCTGATCACCGCCAAGGGTCAGTGAAGGAGGCAATCTATGGTAATCTTGAACGAAAGCTTTGCACTTCGATGGTGCAAAGCAAAGCCCGAAGCGGCTGACTGCCAGTACTAATCTATCCAGTGCAGCTTGGCACGTCTGGGACCTGTCACCGATGACAGCAATATCGTCTGCATACTACAAGTCAAGAAGTCGTTCTCCTGGGAGTAGCTCCATACCTTCTAAGTCGCGTCTTGTGAACGCGATTTTCATGACTTCGTCAATAGCAAAGTTGAAGAGGAAAGGTGACAGCGGGCATCCTTGTCTCACACCGCTGGAGATAGTGAAGGACGACTATAGCTCGCCGTAAGCCCCCACTCTGCCTGAGCTACGCGCGTATAATTCCCGGGTAATATTTACATATTTCTCGGGTACACCTTTCCTGATTAGAAAGTCCCAAAGTGCACGTTTCACTAACACCAGGTCTCCTGCTGCTCGTTTCTCGGATCAGACGGAATAACTTCCGATGGTTACCAAGGGCAGCGGCAATTTCCATCTCTGACGCACGATGAGACCATCAGGATTCGCGGTCTCTCTTCAGGCTAGCACGGAGTTTTCTGCTTGTCACATTATGTTTGCTCCCAGTCGGAATGTGCCGGCAAGCATGGATAAGTTCCAGGGACTGCGAAGAGACCCAATACCCATGTTGGCGATTAGACTTACCAAATGAGGATTTGCCTTCTGATACTAAGGTCTGGTGAACATAAGACCAGTGAGCGCTGACTTAACTCGCACGTCAGCGTATTTGGCAGGTCTTCAGAACAGCTAACGTTGATTCACGAAGTAGTACAAAACGCTGTTTGTTTGTGATTTCCGCTTATGCTCTCGCCGACTGCAGTTCTAATGCTGTCAAGAACACATTTTATCACGAACTGAACGCGCTATTAAGCAGTGATACTAGTTCAGATATTATAGTACTTGCAGAGAATGTGAACGCACAAGTAGGGCGTCTGAGCTCTTCAGAAGCTCAGCTGGGTGGTAAATGTGGGCTTAACTCCGAGCGGACTGACAACGGTGAGCGTCTGCTGCAACTGTGTGCGGAGCACCAGTTGTTTCTTAGTAGCACTGCTTTTAGATACAGTGGGCACCGAAGTGCCACTTGACGTCCTCCTGTAGCTGGCCAGCGATGGACCCAAATTGACCACCTAGCCATAAGTTACAGATGGCGTGGTTCCATCCTGGATTGCCGCTCGTACTGGAGTACCTGTGTCGACTCTGATCATGCCTTGGTACGTTGTCGCGTCTCCATGAACTGTACCGGGAGGCGCACCAAGTGACCCCTACGACTGGCAAGTGAGAAATTGTCTCAGTCCACGATCAGGTAAGCCTATCAAGAAGCACTGCATACTGAACTCCCGCTGTCTTGTCCCAATGACGCTGAGCTTCAGTGGAATAGGATCTCGGCCGCCATGCACGAAGCAGGAGCATCTGCTTGTGGCACTATCAATCGTCACCGCATCATTCACTGGATATCCGAGAGGTCGGTGAACCTGTTGGAAACTAGAAGACACCTCCCGGCTGGCTCTGAACACAATATGACCAGACGGGCTATTAGGTGTGAACTAAAGCAAAGCCTACGTGCTGAAAGGAAGCTTGGTGGACCAGTCGGGCTCAAGAAATGGAGGAGGCAGGAGCGGTAGCCAATTACCGTAAGCCCTTCCAGTTAATCCGCACCACTGGTCCCAGAAAACCAGACGTCAGTGACACAAACAGAGACAGCGCGGGTGCGCTAATACACAATAAGGAGCCCCGAATGGCTCGTTGGGCGGAACACTTTCAAGATCAGTTCCGCTGCCTTCCTGCTCCCGGACCTCTTCCTACTCAGGTGATGCAGCACGAGCCATGGACGGTTAGTTTAGAGCCTCCGTCGGAGGCCGAGGTCCGAAACGCGACTACAGCCCTCAGTCGTTTTCGTGCCACTGCCCTGGATTCCCTACCACCTGCACTATTTAAGAATGGAGGAGACGTCCTCTGCAAAGCAATAACCTTATTCGAATGTATCTGGAAGAGAGTCTACCGGCTAATTGGAGCGAATCGATTATAGTGGCAATATACAAGAAGGGCAGTCACACAGACTGTTCTAACCACAGGGGTATTAGCCTAACGCCAGTTGTGACAAAACTATTAGCCTCGATTCTCGTTCGTCGCCTCACTGCGGAACGGAAATCTCGGATTAGAGAAGAGCAAGCCGGTTTCCGCCCAAGACGTGGCTGTATAGACCATATATTCATTCTGCGGCAGCTGCTAGAGCAGCGCCACGCATACCGCAGACCGACAATAGCTGTGTTCCTCGATTACAAGAGTGCGTTCGATTCAGTCGATCGATCGATTCTGTTCGAAATACTTGCGCGGAAAGGTGTTCCCACGAAATATGTGAACATCCTTCGTGCGCTATACTCGAACACTACAGGCCGCGTCAGGGTCTACGGTGTCCTATCGGATAGCTTTCCGACCACAAGTGGCGTTCGTCAGGGTTGTCCGGTTTCCCCATTTTTGTTCAATTTCGTTGTGAATTCTATCATGGAGTGTCCCCTTGCGGAATCTCACGATGTAGGTGTTGAAGTGCTGCCTGGTGAAAGGTTAGTTGATCTAGATTATGCGGACGATATCGTCTTGCTTTTCGACAATGTTGAGGCGGCACAATCAACCATGAATAGCCTATCCAGAGTGGTCCCATTATTTGGTATGCACTTCGCACCTTCAAAGTGCAAAGTGTTGCTGCAGGACCACCAGCCACTTGATGACCCCTTGACGCTTGCTAACGAGGAACTCGAGGTGGTTGATCATTTCCCTTATCTTGCCAGCTGCACCAGCAATGATGGGCGCATAGAAACTGACGTAAACTCACGCATTGTAAAAGACAGAACTACCTTCTTGAACTTGCGGCATGTTTGGCAACAGAAGGGAGTTTCCCTCCGTCAGAAAGGCCGTGTATACAAGGCCACAGTGAGGGCCGTTCTGCTCTATGGTAGTGAAACTTGGCCCCTTCGGTCTGAAGATCTGAGGCGCCTTCAAGTCTCTGATCATCCTTGTCAGCGAAGCATTTCTGGAGTCGGATGGCACCAGCGTGTCCGCAAGGATGATGTGCGTAGGCGAGTACAAGGTGGCGATAAGCATACTAGCTACCTAGAACAACGGACATCACTGAATAAGTTGCGTTGGTTCGGGCACGTGCTACGTATGCCTGGTCACCGCCTACCTAGGAGGGCCTTGTTTAGTCTGCCAGGTGTAGGGTGGCGCAAGGCTCGAGGTGGACAGA